ATTCAAACTAAAGTGATGAGGTAAACCAGCAGGTAAACCCGGCTGCTAGTGGACAGGGCAGCGGGTTGATTGATCGCGTGTCAGGTTCCAGCCAACCTGGCGCCAGCACAGAGTCTCTCAACCTGGCGCCACCAAGGTACGCGCCTCTTGTCCTCGCTTACTTATCTCACATGACGGCCATGAAAATTACTACTCTTCGTAATTTCTTCGTACGGTACACGAATACATCCGGAGTAATTATGGGAGGAAACGAAATGCGCCTTGGAATGAATTTTCATTGCTATTATTACGGTGTTCGCATTAACGCTCGTTTTTTTCTTTTTCCTTCTTTTCTCTTCTCCCTCTTTGTTCGATTCGAACGCGACGAGTTCGAAGAGAAGAAAAAGAAAAAAAAAAGAACAATTCGATATGGAAACAATCGAATTTTCAACGGTTGAAAACAGCGGCACCGCTGTGAATCACGGGTTCAACCCATCGTTCCTAATCCACCTTTTTCCCGTCAATCACTTATTCGCTCGATCTTTTTCCCTTTCCACCGGCTTCCATCGGGGTGAACCTTTTATTTGATCGACGAGCGACGTTATCACGGCTAATATCGGAAAGAGAGGCGACGCCGCTACTTCCGAGCGATCCGACTCGCTCCATCAAACATTCATGCCGTTGGCCGCGAGCTCGTGTTCCCACTCCGTGAAAATACCGCCCCGATAAAATGCACTGACCCCACTTCCTGCGCCCTTCGACCCTCGTCCACCCCTTTTGTGGCGCGATACGACGTCGCGCCTGCCAACGATAATATTTTCGAACTTAACTTCCGCCCCTCCTCCGTGCCTTTCGAAAATCGTTTCGCTCCTATATATACATACGAGCTCCGATGATCCGTTTTTTCCCTCCCTTTCCTCTCGTGGAAATTCATTTCTCTTTCTTTCGCTCTCCCCTCTTCCGTTCGTTACCAATTCTTAGCTCCTTAGTCGTCGTTTGAGCACCTCTGGAATTAACCGATCGATTTTCGAGTAGCGGAGAACTTGTTGCGAGCGCGAGCCACTCGAGAGATGACCTCGGTGTAATTTTAAAAATCGTGGACCGTCGGAGGGAGAAGGACGGTCGTGGAAGAAGAGGGGACGAGAGGGAAGAAAAAGAGAGACTTGTGAATGCGAAGAGAGGAGAGGAGTGAACTCTAGACCACTTCGTCACACTCGAGGGAAGACAGAGAGGGCACAGCAGCTTGTTCTAGTTTACGGTTCTCAGAACGTACGTGGAGGGAAAACTCAGGAACCGTGAGTCTCGCGTGGCCAAGAGGCCAACCCCGAAAATGTCACGGAATTGTCTGTCGGAATAAATTTCGAAGGCTGCTCGCCAATCTGTGCCTTTATTTAGGATAATAATAATAGCCATTGAACGGGATGTAGGAAAATTAAAGCCCGCGTGTCAAATCGCCAAGAAGGTTTTGAAGCGTCTTTCTCGAGATATATTGATTCCAGCAAGTGAAGTATTTCATTGATCCAATCTTTGATCGATTTTAATTGGAATATGCAATCATCTGTATGAGGGATAGATGTGAATTTATCGAATCGTTTCTCGAAATTTTCGAGAGGAGGATGCCGAGTACAAACATGCAAACATTTGTCCGAGGAATGCAAATGTATTCGATGCGAATAATGTGGAGCAATGATCCTCAATTTGATAGAAAATTCCATTCGAGTTAATTTCGTTTTCCATGTAGATTTAGATGTTTCAATAATTCTTCCAACGAGTATCTCAAAGTACGATATTCTTCTGCGAATGTTTGAAATTAAGCGATAAAGTGTTGAGAATATATAAAATAACATAAATACTTATACTTATACATAGATAGTAAAAATAACGATTTTTCTACATAATAAGATTTATGCAACAACATTCGCTGACATTTCTCAAACATGGCAAAGAAATCGATTAATTATACGATGTTATCGTAATAATATAAAAAAAACGTGCAAATTGAAGAAATCTTATCGATCGATTATTAGAAGGAATACGATTATCTTACTTATTTTATCAAAAAATGCAATTTTTATATATTTTTTGATATTTCGCTCGAAATGTTATTCCCCGTACACAAACATTCCTGTTATAAATGATATTAAATTAAATACAAGCGCCATCTAGCCTTTATTTTCTGTCACCAACATTTCACCACCGCTCATTGAAAACCATCTGTCTGCTCTATTACATTTTGTGAAGAGCGTGACACAAATCGTCGACCGTGAATAATTCCATTATTAATCCTAAAATCGCGTAATTTCGATCGAAACAATTTTCGAAAAACGATTTTGACGTTACGTCGACCGATATATACTTCATTTTACAGAAAAACAATATTTTCTTCTTTTCCCTTCCCAATTAATATCCACTTCGACACATCCCCTTTTGACGAATTCACGTTGTCGAAACATTGCATTCCGCCTCGGTTGATTTATCGCCTTAAGAATCCGTGACAAGGTTTCCGCAGTTCGGGAAGCCATTACTCACGGAAGGATCGGTGCATCTGCGGTGAACATGGTGTAATTCCTCAGGAACGAGGCAGATCCTCGAAGCGTCAGGTGGTTCCCAAACCACGCCTGATCGATAGAAACGCGGTTTAATGACAAAGGGCACCATCGACTCGGGGATGGGGGGGAAGGCGCCCAATATCCGTCTTACACGAGGACAATCGAACGTGGTCGATCGTAATTGATAATCGTTTGTCATCGAGTCGGCCGATTCAACCCTTGTCGACCGAGGGGGGTACACACCCGAATCAGCCGCGTCTCTCCATTCTTTTCGCGTGTGTGAAATATTCGCAACGTGTCGGCAAAGTTCACCCGAGTGTCGCCCAAGTTTTCCGTGAAACTAAATTCGAAAGGTACGAAAGTTACGAGCTGACTGGTTTCTTATATTTCTACTCTCTCTCTCTCTCTCTATATATATATATATATATACATACAAGTTTGAAAGTCAAGGCGAAACAAAAAACTGCACAATGTAATTGCGCAGAACAAATTTGAATAAATTTCGACGAGAGGATTAAAAATTCGTCGAATGGAACCAATGGAACATTTAAACTCACTCACGTAAAATTGGTAGAGACCGAGTGACAACGATATAAATATGCACGAGAGATTGGAATGAGAGGTCGAAAGAAGAAGGGATGATCTTGAACGAGAGGTAATTCCATCTCGATAGAGGGAGGGATGGTAAAAATGTTCTCCTTCTATCCTCCCGAGCAAGTAGTTACCGCTAAAGTGGCGCGCTTCAGATATTCCTCGCACGTTTTTAAAGTGTCCCGGTGTCAAAGAGTTCGCAGAAACTCTTCCGGGGAAGGGGAAGCAGCACGAGTCGTCCACTCCCCAGAGAGGATTTTCCTGAATTCGTTTCAACTGGATTTCCTATCCTCGAGTCAGCCGCGCTTCGACACGATCGTTCCCGTGTACGTACGTATGTATAAAGAGAGACGACAAGAGTGTCACGCATTCACGGCACAAACGAAATGTAACTTCGTGGAACAATATTTTCGTTCCTATCTCGCGTGATCCGATGCCCGCGCTCTGTTTGCCCGAATATATACCACGCTCCAGAAGAGAAAACATACACACACAGCGCGCACACACACGCGCGAGTGGATACGTATTACAGACGGAATCGGGTTTCATTTGGCCAGATTCGCTTCGAACTCGAAACTCGTTCTCTTGCAAATCCTCCTCCCGGATGTTTCTAAGGTTTCGGAACGAAAGACCGACACGGCAGTTTTTGTCATTCGCCATGAAACGAGTATCTCTCTCTCTCTCTCTCTCTCTCTCTCTCTCTCTCTCTCTCTGTCTCTTTCGTATCGCGATATCACGTTCAACGCGAACAAATTTTCGGATTGCTTTTTTTCGTTGAAACAGGTTTCGTATCTAATGTGACGCGATTTGCGATTCGAAGATCCACCGAGACGAAGGGGAGGTCGAAGGGGAAAGAGAAAGTCAGAATTAGGCCAGAGATGGCCTAATGGAAGAAAATCGGTGGAGAGTGGAAAGAAGACGGGAGATGGGAAACGGGAATGGTAGGAGGGCAGGAGGAGGTAGAAGGTAAGCAAGAATAAAGCAGAGATGGTGATCGATTGCGTCGGTACATGCACAATAACAGGGGGATGGAGTCATGTACCTATCCGGGCTAAACAGCCCATTTGCCTCGCACAATGGAAGCGACGTTGCTGTGGGCTCGACTTAATTACCAGAGGCTGCCTTTGGCAGAGAGCGGGGAGGTAAAGAGAGGACACCTTATCGGAAGCGGTCTACATCTAAGCTCCATTTACCAGGCTTTTTCCACGGAAGCGCAAAATTCGCCGAGAAATCGTTCGTGGCTTTTAATCGTTCCGTTAATTTATTATTATCGCGATATTTGATTTTTCACCAAGAAGATTTTTACCGAGAAACATGGTTCACGGTTCAAAGTCATTCCGATAATCGTGAATTTAAGAGTTTCGTCGAAACGAACACCAAGAAGTTTTACCGAGAAACATGGTTCACGGTTCAAAGTCATTCCGATAATCGTGAATTTTAAGAGTAGGAGTCGAAACGAACGAGTTCGACGCACGTTTCTCTCTCTCTCTCTTTTTTTTTTTTTTTATATGTATTTTTCGTATCGATTGATCCGCGATGAAGTAGAAAACACTGGTTGCCGGGTAAATTGCTCGCAAAGTTCGAGCATCCTCGTTGATGTACTTTTGTTACTTATCTCTCGCATAACGCGCGTGCTGCATCACGAAACGGAACAGGCTAAGAGTTTGCCGGAAAACAAAACAGTTTTCCGATAGTTTGGCTAGTGTGAAAACGAACAGAGTTCGTAGAGCCTAGCCATTAGTCTAAAGGTAAGGCTAGCTCGCTCCCTCTCTCTCCCTCTCTCTCTCTCTCTCTCTCTCTATCTATCTATCTATCTCTCTCTCTTTCTCTGGATGTATCATTGCGAAAGGAGGATAAATTACGAATCTCTACAGTACTTACCAAAGTTTTCATAAAGTTTACCGCTTCGAGAAGGCCGCTGCATTAAACAGAGTGTAGCTGTAACAGGAAATACTGCGATATACAATTTAAATAAAATGGAACGTGAACGAGGGAGAGCAATGATTAAATAATCGTTGATATCGTTACGATCATTTCAAAGCTTAGATCGTTTTTTTTCAAGGTCAAGTCGTTTTATCTCCCATGTTTACACAAGATGTTTGAGCGAATATTTTTTTGATCAATACATAAAAGTTTCGTTTTTTAATTAATACGTATTAATTATCGAGAGAAGTTGATACACTTATCTTATAGTCTCGTAAACAATATTTAATTATATTAATATAACGTGTTGCGTCATTTTTATTGATACTAAGTCGTGTTGATATATATTAATATATTATAGCTAACGTGTTATTTGTATGGATTATTTGCGTTCTTTGTACATCTATTATCGCTATGAAAGGCGGAAAAGAGAGGAGCAAAAAGAGATGAACACGATCCATCTAATATGACCTCCGTTTCATATTTTTACATAGTTACTGACAAGTGTAACTGCGTATAATGATAACAAGTAGAGTGGGATGATATGAGAGTTTAAATTGGATTGTTCTTCCACACGGTCACCACTTCGTGTCGTGCGTACGAAACTATCAGGATAATCGTGAATAGCCAACTTTTTCTCTTTTCTCTTTTTTTCTTTCTTAACAAGTTTTTTTCTCGGCGCTTCTGAGAAAATGGCTTCTGCGTTTTTGACGCTCGTCACGGGCGCGTTATTATTATTGTGCTTCTACCTCTATTTAAAATACACGTATTGGAAGAGAAATGGGATTCCGTGCAGTAAAGGATGGTTCCCGATAATCGGCCATTTCCTACCCGTGATAATCAAGAAACAAAGTTACAGTGAAGTGATCGAACATGTATATCGCGATTATTCGGATCACAGTATGGTTGGAATGTACAAAGGAACGAAACCAGTGCTGGTTCTTCGCGATATTAATTTGATTAAAATCGTGTTGCAAAGTAATTTCTCGAAATTCCATGAAAATGCGCTTAAAATCGATTCAAAATTGGACCCTTTGTTAGCGAAAAATCCATTTTTCTGTTACGGAGAATTATGGCAGACCGGAAGGAAACGTTTGACTTATGCGTTCAGCAACGCGAGATTAAAAATCCTTTTCGCAGCCGTGAACGAGGTGTGTACAAAATTTCATAACTTCTTGAACAGGCGGCTGCAATCGAGTAAGAAATACGAAGTCGAGTTGAAGTCGTTGTTTTTAAAATTTACGAGCGAGGTTGTGGCGAACGCCGGTTTAGGAATCGAAGGTTTCTGCTTCGAGGATGGCGAAGTACAATCCATGTTCACCAACTTCAACGATAACGATTTCTTGGATACGTTTTTGATCGGGATCTTCATGCATTTTCCCTTTCTTACCAAGATATTGAAGATAAAATTCCTACCTGAGAAGCACGACAGATTCTTCAGGACAGTGGTGAGGAAAAATTTAGAGCTGAGGAGGAGCGATCCGATACCAAGAAACGATTTCATCCAATTGATGATCGACATGGAGCAGACGGGAGAGAAGATCGACGAGGAGAGTGTGGCGGCTCACGCGGTCTCCTTCTATCTCGACGGGGTCGAAACGTCCAGTGTCACGCTTAATTTCATTGGATGTCAATTGGCCATTCACCAAGACGTCCAAGAAAAGTTGAGGAAGGAGGTGAGATCGACGATCGAGAAACACGGAGGCGCGTTAACGTTCGAGGCTGTGAAGGACATGACGTACATGAATCAAGTGATCAGCGAATCCCAAAGATGTTTCTCGGCTCTAGGCTTTCTGGGTAAAATGTGCACCAACGAGTTCGAATTGCAAGGCTCGGATGGATTGAATTATCGCGCGAAACCTGGCACCGAAATAGTGATACCGATCTGTGGGTTGCACAAAGATCCGAAATACTGGGAAAATCCAGAGGTGTTCGATCCGGAACGATTCGGCGATGAGAATAAGCAAAATATAGAAAAGATGGCGTTCCTTCCTTTCGGCGAGGGGCCAAGAATTTGCGTAGGGATGAGAATGGCTATGCTGCAGATGAAGAGTTGTTTGGCTACATTGATAAAAGACTACAAACTCGAAGTTTCGCCGAAAATGCAACTACCGTTGAGATTGTCGCCGTCTTATTTCCTGTCGGCGCCATTTGGTGGTGGTTGGGTACTCATTTCGGAAGCCTGAAGCCTTATCGAAAAATTACACGTCGAGTCAAAGCTCGAGATTGATTATTATTGCGATCTTTATTACTTATGTTTAAGAAAAATTCGATATGGCAAAGGAGCAACGTTTGCGTTTACGTAATATTCTTACCGATACATTATCTTCGAGAGATAAGTGGTAATAAAATTTTGCTGTTACTTTTTAATTTCATTTCAATCGAATCTTGTTACAGCGGAGTATATTTGTTGTTAACGAATCGATAGAAAAAAGAGCGCGAGAGAAATATCTATATATATATATATACATGTATATGATTCTTTGATTTCGATTGATCGTCTCCGTTACGTAAAAATAAAGAGCAGATAAATAAATGAAAAGAAAAATAGGAGACGAATAGCGTTTATGGGAGTGCGCCGAGTGCAGGTCTATTTCACGTGTCTCAGAATGTAGGAACTCGAACGAGTTTCCTGAGTGGTTTCCCGTGTTCACTATTGCTATGTACACATAACTGCGTCAAATTGTGTGTATGTGTGTGTGTGTGTGTGTGTGTGTATACACGTTTTATATTTTATATGTATATCGTATCGTTTATAACGTGTGTGGAAAGAAACGATAAACCGGTGATGGAAGGCTCGTGTGTGTTTTCGATAAATAAATGTATAATTCGTTACAGAGTGGTCCATCGTTCGTGATACAAAGAGAAGACGCGATGAAATAATAAAATATTTACAAAAATTGTATAAATTTGTTCACATTCCGGTTTGGATAGGTCGGAAAATTAATTAGTTACAAGTTCAATAATGGACCTCTCTGTATTTCAAAATTACCTTCGCTATGTAAATAATCATAATTAATTCCCGGTTCTCGATATCAGATATTACGTTCTTTTAACTATTAAACCCGATGTATAAACTCGGTGTTTATCGGTTTACGAGGCAATTAGATAACAATCAATTTTCCAATTGTTTTATCCGTGTAATCTCCGCGATAAGTATGGTTGATTATATATGATTCAAATATAAATCGTTTCGAATTCTTTCCCCATGGAAGCGTTGTTGATCGACATCGCCTATTCTTTCGTTCCCTTTCTCTTATCCCGACCGATTCAAGACCGATTGGTTCCACTGGCGAGAAAAAAAGAAGACGAAAAGAAGACGCGCGCGAGACACGAAAATGGTGTGCGTGGTCGTTTTTCGCGAACACGTGTGTTCGAAGAAAAAAAGAAGAAGGAAGCGAGAGGGGAGGGGGGGTGACGATAAAGAAGAAAGAGGGTGGCTCGAGGGTGGTGGACGAGGGGAAAGAGTTCTTCGCGTCGTAGTGCATCTTTCTCTGATTTCCCGTGGGAGAAGTCGGCTCGCCGGCTTTCTTCTCCAGCGTATCGAAGGTAGAATCGAACTGAGAAGATAGGTGGAAGGATGGAGTGGGCAGACACAGACGCGTCGTGTAACGCGCGTGTCCTCGCGGTGGCATGATTTATTTTATCGCTTTTCGAGAAGCTAGCATAATTCCACCCCACCGCCATCAGTTATTTACTCCCTTCCATCTTCGGATGGATGGAAGGACGAGCGGAATGGAATCGAGGACGAGGAAGGGATCAACAGGTACAGGGGGGGCGACCAGTATCCCTCGGCTACGTCGAGAAGAACCGTCGTTCTTTAACGCGGGTGGAAATATCGTATCGGGGTGTCGGACGTAAAACGAACGTGTAAGAATTCACAGGGAGTAAGTTTTTTTTATTCATCGAGGGTAAAATTTTGGGAAAACTGATGGTTTTCAACATCTCGCGTATACGTATATAAACGGGCGACAACTCGGAATGGAAGAGGCGAGGCGGAAGTTGGATTTGATTTAATTAAAACGGGCAGCGATAACAACGATGCAGTAAATTGAAAATTACGGAGCGAACTAATCCTCTTAAATGGAATATTACCAGCGGAATACCCGACGAATTCGATTGTTTTTGACTGGAGCTACGGCAATAAATCAAACCCCCTTCAATAGACATTCAATACTTGCCACCATTGTCGTCTAAATCCCCTTCTCGACTAACTCGATTCTTCTCGCTTTTACTTTTTCATTTTTTTTAATCGAAATTTTCATTCGATCACCAATTATTCGACGAAAAGTATATTCTGACTGAAGGACATACATAGAAAAAGAAAAATAAAGCTTCGATTAGTAATTTCAACACGGATATAAAAGGTAAAAAGTTTAAAAAGAAAGAAAACGACCCCTCTCGGATTACTTTTGTTCTTCTTCTCCGTGTATCTCTTTCTTTCTTGTTCGACGATATTAGCGTCCCGATTGAAAGGATACCGGAAGAACGTCAACCCGGAACGTAATATACTTGCTCGCCGCCTTTCCCGAATGCACGTCGCCGAGGGTAAAGGAAGGAGGAATGGAGAAAGGAGGGGGATAGCGACAGGGTCGTAGCAGGAAATTTCACGGAGTGGCGCAATAACGTTTCTTATGCCACGTTTCCGGAGTGGCGTACTGTTGGGGGCAGGGAGAGCTTGGAGCTTGCAAATACTCATCGTGCGAGAGAGGAAGAACGAGAGTGCAATAGAGACGGTGAAAATGGTAGGGAGAAGGAGAGGAAGAGATGCAGTCACTCTCTGGCATGCAATTAGGAGCTAGGCATCGCCCTGGAAAGGATTCCTCTCTTTCGGTATTCCTGCTAGAGTCATCCTTCTCTTTCTTCCCACAAGCTTTGCGTCTTCCTTTCTTTCTCTTCCTTTGTCTCTTTCGTTCCGCCGCTCGTTCGATTACGTACACTGATTTTCTCCCTTGCACAATTTCCTATAATCCGCGTCAGCGCCACGTCCGCACACGAATACCACACGCGCGCAC